TTCCGAACTTTACTTTTTTCTTTTGTTTTGTTTGTCTGAGGTCTAGCTCTAGTGTATGCCAAGCATACGGAGCCGAGGAGAACCAATCGTACCATTCTATCCTGAACTTAACCAGACCCTACGCAGAATGAATGATCAACAAAATCTCACAAATCTAGGTGATGGGATCAACTGTCAACTTACTCCGCTGGATGATGCTCACAAACAAGTGATGGTGGAGAACCCTGGTGATGGTGCTTTGAGGAGGCAACCTCCCGTCCCACGCCCTCAAGAGTTCAATACAGGCAACATTAACATCACTGAATCTGATGGGCCTCTTGTCTTATCTCCTCTACCATAGGGTCACAAATTCATCGTAACTAGTAGCTTGATGGAGATGATCACCGCTAGAGGTTTGTTTTCGGGGCTACTATCAAAGGATCCACTTGCTCACATCGCTAAACTGAGGTCGTTGTGTAAGACTTGTGTAGGGAGGCCAGACTTTGAAATGGACGTCATCAAATTAAGGGTGTTCCCTCTCTCATTAACGGGAGAAGCAGCAATATGGTTCACTGAGTTGCCCTATAATTCGATCTATACTTGGGACAAATTAAGGGATGTGTTCGTAGAATGGTACTATTCGGTATCTAAGAAGCTCAACCACTAAGATAGCATGAACAACTTTATGGCATTGCCTAAGGAGTCGGTGAGTAGCTCTTCAAATAGAATCACCTCATTCGTAACAAGTGTCCCAGACCACTGCATTGATGATAAGTCGTTAAAAGAGTACTTCTATCTGGGGAAAGATGATAATAATAAGGCAGTGCTTGATACTATTGCGGGTGGTTATTATGGTGAGTTCACATTTGCAGATATCATGGAGAAGTTGGAGAAATCTCCCGGCTTGGAGCAGTAGGAAATCACACACTGGGAAAAACATGTGTAGTGCAAGCTACATACAACCAGACCACATATGAGATTCGTGAAGAGATGTCTCAAATGAGAAACGAGATCGGGTTTGTATTGAAACATGTTATTGTGGGTCCAGAAGTAAATGCGGTGAATTATTTAACAAAACCACCAGAGCCAGCGGAGGACTACTAGTATGAAGAGGATTCTTATGTAGTGAATGAGCAAACGGGGGTTTCGGACCGAACGCCCAAGGCTCCAATCAGGAGAATTGGCGCCAATGTCAAGGAAATCAAGGTTAGAATTATGGGAATTACAATCGAGACTGCCATTTTGTTCGATATGGAAACTACAACCGCGACAACAACTTTAACTGGGTAACTATGGTAACAAAAATTATTGAAGTGGGCCCTATGTTCCGCATCAAAATCGAGAAGTTGCTCCTAGGGATGGTGGAGTTAGTATGGCGCGAGTTGAAGATATGTTGCAAAAGATGATTAGGAGGTTTGATGCTAGTGATGAGCATGCCAAAGAGTTGAGAGGTGATTTGACTAATATTGGGCAAAAGGTGGATGCACATGCAATCTCAATCAAGCATCTTGAGTTTGAAATGGCCCAATTGTCTAATACTATGAACCCACGTCAATCCAGTACTCATCCTAGCAATACCGTCCTAAATTAGAAAGGTGATGGACATTGAATGGCAGTCACTACTCGAGGGCGCAAGCAAACCATTGATCCACCTATGCTGTCTGGTGTGGAAGATGAGGTGAGAAAAGATAATGAGGTAGTGGAAGTTAGTGGTGAGTTGGTAGACAAAGCAATGAATGAAGCAGAGATACCCCGAAAGGTGATCCCTATTCCTAAACCACCACCACCATTCACGAAAATTGGTGAAGAAGACTGAGAATGGTAAATATCGGCGTTTTATTATTATGTTGAAATAGCTTTCCATCAATGTCCCTTTGATAGAAGCTCTTGAACAAATGCCCGAGTATGTCAAGTTTATGAAAGATATGGTTACAAAGAAGATATCGATGATTTTTTAGGATGATGACCAAATACAACATTATAGTGCTATTGCTACAAGGTCTCTTGTGCAAAAGAAAGAAGATATGGGCACTTTCACTATTCCATGTACCATCGGTTTGTTACACTTTTCTAAAGAACTATGTGATCTTGGTGCAAGCATAAATCTGATGCCCCTCTCTATTTATAAGAAATTGGGTTTGGGTAACCCAAAGTTCACTGAGATGCGGTTAATGATGGCCGATGGAACGGTAAAAAGGCCTATTAGGATACTCCACGATATGTTAGTGAAGGTGGAGTCATTTGTATTTCTGGTTGATTTTTTAATTCTTGATTGTGAGGTGGATTTTGATGTGCCTATTATTCTTGGGAGACCATTCCTTGCTACCAGTCGCGCCTTGGTTGACATGGAAAAATGGCAGATGAAATTTCAGTTTAAATAATGAATAAGCAACTTTAAACATTTGTAGGTCCATGAAGTAAAGTGGTGAGATCCAAACTGTATCTGCTCTATCCTACGGGGTTTCGTCTAAGGTACAAATTGAAGAGTGCCTTGGTGTTGAGGCTCTAGCGGCAGTGATCATGAATTTTGAGAGTGATGGTATTGAAGAGTATGAGTCATTGGTTGTTGAATTTGATCGAGGTAAATGTCGATTCAAAGCAAAGAAATTGGAGTTAGATATGAAGCATCGCAAGTCTCAACCCGCGAAACCATCTATTGAGGAGGTACCAAAATTAGAGCTTAAGGCTCTACTACCTCATTTGAGGTATGTATTCCTGGGAAGACATGACACTCTGTCGATAATCATTGAATCGGATTTGATCATGTCACAAGTAGAGTGTTTGGTAGAAATGTTAAAAAGGTTAAAAAGAGCTATTGGTTGCAATATTGCGGACATTAGTGGATCCCATCCAGTAGTTGTTCACACAAAATAAAACTCATTCCTGATCACAAGCTAAGTATTGAGCACCAAAGACGTTTGAATCCACCTATGCAAGAGGTAGTTAAGAAAAAGATTATTATGTGGTGGGATGCGGAGGCATATATCCTATCGCAGATATTAGTTGGGTATGCCTTATTTAGTGTGTGCCCAAAAAGGGGGGAATGATAGAGGTCCCTAATGAGAAGAATGAGCTTGTTCGAATGAGACCAGTGACCGGATTGAGAGTTTTTACGGATTACCAGAAGTTGAATGCATGGACTGAAAAGGACCATTTCCCTATGCCCTTCATGGATCAGATGTTAGATAGACCACAGGAAAAGGATGGTACTTTTTTCGTACAATGAAATCTCTATTGCACCGTAGAATCAAGAGAAAATCACCTTTACTTCTCCTTATGGGACATTCGCATTCAAGAGGATGCCTTATGGGTTTTGTAATGCATCGGCCACTTTTCAGATATGTATGATGTCGATATTCTTCTATTTGGTGTAGGACACTATTTAGGTGTTTATGGATGACTTTTCAGTTGTTGGCGACTCTTTTGATTGTTGTTTGAGTCACTTGGCCGAAGTTCTCAAAAGATGTGAAGACTATAATTTTGTGCAAAATTGGGAAAATTGTCACTTCATGGTGAAGGAGGGTATTGTATTGGGTCATCACATCTCAGATAAGGGAATGGAGGTTGATCGAGCAAAAGTGGAGGTTATTGACAGACATTCTCCACCCATCTCTGTAAAAGGTGTGAGAAGTTTTCTTGGGCATACGGGCTTCTATCGGAGATTTAGTACAAATTTCTCAAAAATAGCACATCCTCTGTGCAAGTTACTTGAGAAGGAATGTAATTTCTTTTTTGATGAATCATGTCCGAAGGAATTTGGAGAGTTGAATTAGACATTGGTGTCTGCGCCCATAATTATTTCCCCGAATTGGAATAAGCCATTTGAGGTGATGTGTGCTGCTAGCGGGATTTCTTTTGGTGCGGTGTTGGGAAAAGAAAGATAATATCCTTCAACCAATCTATTATGCTATTAAGGCCCTAAATGAAGCACAAAATAACTACACTGTGAATGAACAAGAGCTTCTTGCGGTGGTATTTGCGTTCGAAAAATTTTGCTCCTATTTGCTTTGCACGAGAGTTATAGTACATACTCACCACTCCACTTTGAGGTATTTGGTGGAAAAGAAGGATGCAAAACCAAGGTTGATTAGATGGGTGCTACTATTGCAAGAGTTTGATTTTTAGGTGAAATATAGAAAAAGGATTGAAAATCAAGTTGTTGATCACTTGTCCAGATTAGAGGATGAAGCTATGCGAGAATTGGGTGAAAAAGACGAAGTTGATGATACCTTCCCTGATGAGCATGTATTGGTAGCTTCTTATGACTTGATTCCATGGTTTGCCAACTTTGTGAATTATCTGGCTAGTCATATAGTCCCATTGGACTTGTCCTTCTATCAGAGGAAAAAGTTCATGCATGATGTGAAAAAGTTCTTTCGAGAGAACCATATATACCGGAGTTGTGCATATGGAATTATTTGTCGTTGTGTGACGAAAGTTGAGATGCTAAGTGTTTTGCAGTGCCATTCTTCGCCTGTGGGTGGGCATCATAGTGGTATCCAGACTGCCCATAAGATTTTACAGTGTTGGTACGATTGGACAGCCATCCACCAAGATGATTATGAGTTCGCCAAAGCATGTGATGGGTGCCAAAGAGATGAAGACATTTTGAAGAGGCAAAAGCTCCCTATAAAACCCATTCTAGTGATCGAGTTGTTTGATGTATGGGGCATTTGTTTTATGGGCCAGTTTGTGATTTCTGATGGGTGAAATGTATTCTTGTGGCAATGGATTATGTGTCAAAATGGGTTGAAACCTTAGCACTTACCAACAATGAAGGTAAGAGTGTCACCGTGTTCTTGAAAAAGAACATATTTTCCAAATTTGGCACACATATGGCCATTATTAGTGATAGGGGGTCCAACTTTTGCAACAAGATGTTCAAAGGGCTATTGGAGAAATATGAGGTTTGCAACAATGTAGTCACCCCATACCATACAAGAGCCCCATAGGTATGCCTCTATACCTATGGGAAGGCTTGTCACTTGCCAGTTGAGTTAGAGCACAAGGTCATGTAGGCGATGAAGAAACTGAAGATGGATTGGAATGAAGCAGTGGAACCGAGACTTAGTGGATCGAATGAGCTTGATGAGTTTCACCTAAAAGCATATGATATTTCATCCCTCTACGAAGAGAAGATGAAGAATTACCATGACCAAAAGATTGAGAAGCGTGAATTTGTAGTTTGGGATTTTGTGCTTTTGTTTAACTTTAGGCTGCGCTTGTTTCAAGGCAAACTCAAGTCCAAATACACTGGTCCATTCTTGATCACTAAAATGTTCCCACATGAAGCAGTTGAGTTGGAGATAAAGGAGGGTGCAAGTTTCACGGTAAATGGGCAAAGAATCAAGATGTACCTTGGGCATGCAGAGAGTGCCCATGAAGTGGTTGAGGCATCTGACGTTTATGAAGTCTGAGTAATCAAGGGTCTTGCGTCATGCTGCAAAATTAAATCAAGCGCTTCTTATGAGGCAACACAATGTGTATCCTCTAGCCAACAATAGGTTTTTCTCTTCTTTGTCGAAATTTTTGCATTTTTATTCGTTATGTTTTACTCAATTTCATGTGTAAATTTTCTTTTAGTTTTTTGTGTCTTTTGGCAAAAGAGTAGTTTAGGTTCCGTATCTAAAAAGTGTCCAGAAAGCACAAAAATAGTTGTTTAATGGGTGTACAATGTGTAGGGACCAAACCATAAGAATTTTACAGAAATTGGTGTAGTGTATAGATCTACAGACCAACCGACGGGTCGTCGGTCCATCGACGGACCATCGATGGTGTCCGTAGATCCCAGGTATGTTTTAAAATTTTCTCTAAATTAGGGAACAATTGACGGTGCAGTTGACGGACCGTCGATGGGCTACATTGAATTCACAGAAACCAGTGACTTGACCAGCTACATTAAGATATAACAATTCGGATACCCTCCCACACCTTTTTAAATTCCCTCCCAACCCTTTCCCTCCCTTTATTGCCTTGTTTCTACATCAACTCCCACACTTACTTCACTTTATTCTCTTCCGAAATAATCAAACTCTCCCAAAATCCCAGAATCCCCAAGTTTCTACTCAAAACTTCATCGTTTCTCCGTTCGGTGTTCGTAGGCGACATGTAGTTTGGTTTTTACAAGATCACACACTCATTTACTCCACTAAAAATTAAAGGTATTTCATTTTCCTTTTCTTAATGAGTTCTTGTTCATTTGCTTGTAGAAACGAATAGATTGTATGTAAGTCTTTAATTAGGGACAAAATTGCATGTTAAACTTGTTAAAATTGGGTTCTATGTCCCTTAGAATGATAGAAAGTAAATGGGATCGGGGTGGAATCTGTATAAAATCATTATGCTTGTTGTTTTTTCCAACTTAGGGCTTTATAATCTCTTAGAATCCATGGTCGAAATGAGAAAAATTTAAGCCCTAGGGATGATGAATTAGTCTTTTGTTTGTTATTGCATGTTGGGTGAACTGGTGTTGTGCTTGAAATTATCCATTTATGGGGTAAAACGAAGTCCTAAAAACATGTCTCTTACAAATAGAATGAGACCATGCCTACAGACCGTCGGTAAATCTCCGCACCGTTAATGGGGTCAGCCGTTGGATAACCTTTAAATCTTCTTAACTTTGGAACGACGGAAGTGGACTAAGGTTCATTGATTGATCGACTGACCGTTATGCATGTCCATTGTTTCTAACCAAAACCTTGATCTTTAAACAATTCTGAATTATTTTAAGTGTCAGACAATGGAAGTGGACTATGATTCGTCGATTCAACGACCAGTCATTTTGCACATCCGCCGTTTCTAACTGAAAGTTTTGTGGAAAGTATACTTTTAATATTTGCTAAGTGTCCACTAATGGACAGTATCGACGGACCGTCAATTCGTCGGTGGGCCGTCGATAATGCCCCTCTCCCACTTCTATAATTCTTCAATAAACTTTGTCGTGTGTATCAAGGTTATGTGCCGATTATGTTGCCTGTGTAGCTTTAATACAATGAAACTAACAACTTTCTTTTCAGGTAGTTATGTCCCTCAAATCGTACATTGTGTATTCCAGGGGATGGTCTAAGTCTTTGTCACCATCCCGGCGGATGATTGGCTTGTCCGATAATGAGCGAGATACAGAGTATGGGGCCCAGGCACCCAAACCCCGACACCAGCTGCAATAGAAACTCAGGGCACCCTCAGTCTGATGAGGAGCGCACACTGACCGGCACATTATCTGGGTTTGCCTTGGGTTCTAAGAAAGCATCTGGCTTCAAAGAGGCTTCAGGTTCAGAGTCGACCCACTCTACAGGGTCGAATGAGGCCACAACCTCCGGTTCCAGATCACAGGGAGCCACTCTCCCAGCCGTGCCTACCCTCCATGCCTCGTCTGATGAGGCCCAGGGTTTGGAGTTTGCTCTGACACCCCAGCATGATGTCCCTGCACTGGTTGCTAATGAGCCCAACCGGTGGTGCGTAGAAGGCTAGTACCAGATATACAGGGATTCCAAGTTGCTGAACAATAAGGGGGTGATGACTCGCATGTTGACAGTTGAGTAGCGGGTTCTTAAAGAGATCCTACATACAATCCCTGCGGTGCATGAATTATTTACCCGCCACTGACTTGAGTGGGCGGCTAGGAGTGTGGGGTCTTATAGTGAGGATATGGTGCGAGAGTTCTACGCATCTTACATAGAAGCTCTCTATGTCTCTTTGGACAGGCGGTCGAACCTTGTCAAACATGCACCGCTCACAGATATCTGAGTTTGAGGTTACCGGTGAATATTTCTTCTCCTGCCATCCGCTGCTTCCTATACGATGGGGACACTAATGCCGAGAGGGTTCCTCTCACCCCAGAGTTCGACTACAGGTGTGATGTCGTAAAGAGTGTCTATTTTCAGCGGAGTATAGAATTGACCGAGTCCACGAAAAGGTGGATTGCACAGCGGCTCTCCATCGACGGTGAGGGATAAGACTGATTGTTCGAACACAAATGCCTTATAAAGAAGGCTAAACTCACTTTTGCAGCCAAGTTCTTCTGGCTATTAGTTTGGCACCTCCTCTCCCCCACGGCTGCGGATAATATACTTACTTGGGATGGAGAGGTCTTGGTAGCATCTCTTGTAGACGGGTTGGAGATCGATTTTGTGAGGTTGTTGATCATTGTCATCCATGAGAGGGATTTTAAGTCCTCTATCACTTACCCATTTGCCTGTATGATTTTTCAGCTGCGCAGGGATGCTGGAGTGCCCATTTGGCACAGATATATCCTCCGTACTTCTTTAGGGGTAGTGGATATCAATCTCATTAGGGATGAGGAAAATGTGGCGGCATCACGACAAGGACCCATAGTTTATTTGCAGCCGCTGGGTGAAAACTTAGCGGATACGGTAGAGAAAGCCCAAGGGGATGATCATGACAGTTCGGAGCCTACCAATACCACCATGGCTGAGTCTGCCCCTTGCACTAGTAGGACGCGTAGTCCCTTCGGTCTACCCCACCATCAGCAACACTAGTCCTGATTGCTATTTTCAAGAAGCTACAGGCCCAGATGGCTACATTGCTAAACCATATCCAACATTGAATGAAGAAATCTATTGCCGAGGATGAGGACCATATTGACAAGAAGGTGTCTCAGCAATAAGAGATGATGATTCAAGCAGTCCATTGTCTAGATGCATTCGAGCTACGAGTTCTAGCATGCCCAACCCCCATCATTAATCTTACTACTCTTAAGGAGGCCATGGCGATTCTGCGGGTTTATATGGACAACATACTTGAGTTGAGGGGACCCGAGCTTGAGACTGCTCTAGTTGAGACCGCAGAGGACACAGTTCTTGCTACACTATTCACTACTCCCACTTCACCACCTCCTGATTATTGTGAGCATGCCAAGAGGCACCATTCCAGCCATACCACTGAGGGAGATGAGGCACGTGCTAGGATGAAGGAGCGGATAGATCTTGAGGTAGCGAGTAGACCCTCGTTGATTGATGAAGAAGACTGGCATATGAGGGCTTGAGAGTTTCCTTCCTCCAGAGTGGAGGTTGTTGAGAGGATCACCACTGAGGGCGTGGATAATGTTGTGGGCGCTACTTAGGGTGTTCCTACTGAGGGTGCAGGTTCTGAAAACTGGACCAGCCTTCTTGTTGATCCTCAGCGTTATGCGCCACGGGTTTGCTTCACCTACCACCCTATCTTTATATTTCTTATACATTGGGGATAATTGCATGCTTTATTGTTGGGGGGGGGGGGGGTAAATGGAAGCTAAGTGTTAGGGTGAAGTTTGAGTAGTCCAACTCAGGATTCTCTCTTGGTGGTTTTCTTCCATGTGTTCTTTTGCCCCAAAAGACTGATTAATTTACAGTTAAACTGTCATGTGTCGTAACTTGTACAAAGTATAAAAGTGAAAAATGAATCATGATGGCTAAACTTGAATCATATCCCATTCTAATAAAGGGCTTGCATGAATAGGTATAAATGTTGAACGTTGGCTCTAAGCATGACATAGATATATGCCCATTGTTTGATCCTCCCTCTAACACTCAAACAAGGAAATCGATAATATGATAATGTAATGTGGTGTCAAGAAAGTGTGATGAGATTTGATTTTTCCTTGTTGGTACTTATCTAGAACTTGCCCGGTTGATCTTGCAAAAGGAATTTGTGTTAGACAATTAGGAAAGGATCATAGGCCCTTGTTCAATTTAGCAAACATCTAGCCTAAAGTGAAGAGAGCCAAATATGATTGTTATCCCTTTTTGATCCAAACAATTGAGCCTATAATAGACATTCTTTTCTTCACCAACTAAACCCCCTGGGTATAATGTGTCGGCACTGGTCCCTCCTTGGACACGTGCACCTCAACTTAGGCCAAAATCATAAATTGGGGGTGGCTAATGCAGAAAAACTTACCTTATCTTGGCCCTGACAAAAATTTGGGTAAGTGTACCTCGACTTAGGGCAAAGCCATAAGTTGAGGGTGGTTATTATGAGTGATGACCCGAAAAGTGGATATGAAAAAAGAGTAATGTGGAAAAGAAAAGGAACAATGAACAAGAGAGGTGACTTAATCAAAATTGGCAATTGAATAAACAAAGAGAAAAATAGTGTTGAATAAAAAGAAGTACGAGTCACTTCCACAAAAGAGTAAGAAAAGACAAAATAAGGCAAAAGATAATAAGAAAAGTAGGATAATGAGACAGGTAGGACGCTTAGCCGTAATGTCAATGAGGGCAACAAGTCACTAAAACGTACCCGTACGTACCGTACCTGACCCTGAGCCTACGTTACAAGCTAAGAAAGTCCTATCATGATCATAAGAGTCTAATATGGTGAACTTAAGCAATGAAAATAAGGGCAAGCCTATGGAGACAAGTACCAACTAGGTGTGAATTAATTTTGAGTGTGACTATGGAATAATGATCCTTATACT